CTAAACAGCACCGGACCGAAATACACTCTCTAAACTGCATGGAATTAAGCAATGAAGAAAACATGCCGCCAGCACAAATGTGGTTACATAGTTAGGTTGAAAAAAGACACAAGTCCATTGAGTTCAACCTATAGAGTGGTAAATATGAAATATCATATGATATAAATATTTCATAGTTACATGACTTTAAATAAAATAAATAACAATTTTTTCACATTTAATATATAAATACAATTTTATATCGGAAAACGTTTGTGGTTATCTGACCATCACACCTATACTGTTTATTAGCTAGCTGGTCATCCATTCACAAACCATGGCCATTAATATGGATTTGGCCCCTCGTTGCAACTAAAACAACCACGATCATGACTTTAAATAAAATAAATAACAATTTTTTCACATTTAATATATAAATACAATTTTATATCGGAAAAGGTTTGTGGTTATCTGACCATCACACCTATACTGTTTATTAGCTAGCTGGTCATCCATTCACAAACCATGGCCATTAATATGGATTTGGCCCCTCGTTGCAACTAAAACAACCCCGACTCTTCTGGGAAGGCTTTCCACAAGAAAGCCTGGTATACCATTTGGTATACCATTCGAGTAACTCCACACCAAACTCATTAAATCTCTTTATATGTAAGGCATTAGATGTCTTTTATGGAGCTGGCTTTGTGTACAGGGGCACAGTCATGCAGCAACAGACAAGGACCTTCCCCAAACTGTTTCCACAGGGTTAGATGTGCTCAATCGTCTAAAATGTTTTTGTATGCTAAAGTCTGTTAAAAGAGAGTGCACGGCTATGTACATGATTTTATGGACTTAGTTTTGCAATAGGATGTACATATAAAATGTTATATACACATGAAATATTTCCCTCCACACAAAACAAACTATTTGTTTACTAAATTCCCTCTACAATAGGTCACACTAGACTATTTTCTGAAACTGTAGGTTAACTAGAAAATGTGAGCCCTTCTCCTGAATGTTGAAATTAAGAGCATGTAACAAAGCAAATACAGGCGCATCAATGCTCAGTGCTGTCACTTTTATCTGCTATAAGACTTAAAGCCCAACTATATATAATGTGTATATATATACTGTATATTAGACATGTGCAGCGGCTAAACATTTGTTTAGTTTAGTTTCGGTTTTCTTTTATTTTGTTTTTTGGAATTCGGGTCCTATATGCGTTTCGTTTCGGGATTCGTATTCGGATCTGATTCGGAATGTAGATTCGGAATTCGGACGAATTCCCGAAAATTCAACTTGAGGTGGGGTAGCAGAATTGGCACATTTGTCATTTCTGGCTGCTGTGCTCTAGTCTTTACTATTAAAGGGACATTAAAATACTTTTCTTAATTTGTTTTTATCCATTTAAATGTCAACAGTGCACGCACAGGATTTGGACGAAAATCGTTCCAAATCCGAAATTTTGGATTCGGATGCTTTCGGTTGATTTCGGATATGTTCTATTACAGGAATTCGTATGCTCCGAATCTACGAATTTCCGAAATTTGGTCCGAATTTTGATTCGGAACGAAACAAAACGCACATGTCTACTGTATATACACAGAGCTTTTCTTCTGGTGGAACGCACCGGTATGCAGTACCGGCACCTACCACCATCCCTTTAATTTTTTTTACCATATAGATATAAAAAAAAAAGGTGCCCTCGCCGTACAGACAATGTGCAAGTGTCTGTATGGCAAGTGTACAGACACGGCGCCAGAAGACAAGCATCACCAGGGTGATAACGCTTGTTTTCAGGAGCCGTTTACCACCAAAAAGATGGCTGCCACCAATAAACCTCATCGCCGGCGGCCATCTTGTGCAAGCTCAGTGCATCCCCTCTACCACAACCAAAATGGCATTAAGGTTTGTTGTCGGCGGCCATCTTCGTGGTGGGCAGGGACATGCGCTGTGCGTCCCTGCCCACAACAAAGATGGCTGCCACATGGTTTTTGTGGGTAAAAGGTGCAGTGAGTACCAGCACTTTTTTGCCCAGAAAAAAAGCACTGTGTATATATTGTTGTCCACTTACAGTGATTACACATCTTTACGTTACATTGCATATTAATGAATGTGCGTTAATCCAGATTGTGTTGCACGTGAAAGCGGACCTTTACACCCAAATTCTACCAATACATCCCTCTCTGTATGATGATTAATAATAACATAGACATGTCAGATGTAAAATGCTGTGATTTTGAAACACTTACACTTGCAGAGCATTCACTTTCTACTTTGAAAGGGCAAAAATGACTTCAGTGTGCCAAAGCATTGCACACTGGGATTGCCTTGTCACTGAAATGAGATATCGTTCATACCGTTGAAAAAAAAATGGCCGCGAGATCTCGCAATAGCGGCGCATCGTCAGAAGGGGATGTGGCCATGGAAAATGATGAAGCTAGGCAGGAGTGACACAGCAAGAAGGCATGGAACGAGGAGCAATTGCCCTCTTCTAACATGGCCGCCCGCTACATTGCAGGACCAAAATTTAAACATAACAAAAAAGGTATTTATAAAAGAAAATAAAGCGTTTTAAATGTATTTAATTTGGTTATTGTATATTAGTGCATATAGGAATGTTTAAAAAAAAAAATTAAGCCAGCCTATTAATTGAATAGCCTGCCAACACACCACATGCACCATTTTTCTGACTGCGTACCACCATGCACATGCAGTGCACTGCAGTGTGGGTGTGTTCTACTACTGCGTTGGGGTGTGTTGTAGTAGTGCATTGTGGTGCCCTTTTGCTATTGTAATGCATAAGTAAGAATGGACCCTATAGGGTTTTCATAGAATATCCATTGAGCAGATAGCGCATATACATTTATGTGTGTGTGTATGTACAGTATATGGGGTGTATACATAGTTGTATATATATATTACAGTAGTAGTAGGTGTATCATTCTTAATAATAGACAAGGAAATGTTGTTGTGATGTAGCTATCACAGAGAGATTTAATATTGTTGTTGTCTAAATACATTTAAACTTCAGCCGGAATAACTGTCGAGTGATTCATGCTCATATAGGTGAATAGAACGATTGTATCGGAAGCCCCAGTGCGCTATTCTCATTTCGCTGGAAATAAAAAACAAAATGTATCCGTGTCACTCAGTGCCCTTCTGTGCGGCTCAGAGCTATCAAACAGGCCACAATTATGATGGCGAGGTGATTGTGTCACATCGCCAGGAAGTTTATTGCTTTGGAGGGTGCTCTGCAGTAACACATTCCCTTTCATATTACTCTTTATATCATTGTTTGGCTGGTGACTGGAATAATCAGATGACATCAAACGCTGTCAAAATTCGTTTTACAGGATTTTCCTCTGACGCTGTCCCCTCGCCTTCCTGAGATTTTAACTGTTGTGGAATAATACTTGTAATTATTTGTTTGGCTTAAGAAATCATTTGAGCGAGCTGCAATGCAGATGCTTTCTGCCTTATTCAATGAGAACAGGGCCTGCAACATACTGCCATCCATTGCATCCGCGCATGAATCCTCTTGTGATCAGATTGGTACGGATTGTATAAGGACCGCTGTGATATCCGTGTCCATCCAGTTTTTACCTCCATCTTGCAATGGAGGAAAAAAACGAAATGAACGGACTCCATGTCAGTCTAGGGGGAATCAGACTTGTGTCCGTTTACATCACATTCCCCTTGATCCGGCATGACCAAGCCCGGCAAAACGGAACACTGTTCCATCAGTTTTTCTGGACCTGGCTGGAGCCAGGGCAACCGGATTTAAATAGACACCTGTCTGTTTAGATCCAGCTGCCCATAGACTTACATTGGGCATCCAATGGGGCAAACCTAAAAAAACTGACAGACGGACCTGATCAGACCGTCCGACTGAAAGGGGTCTAAAAGTTGTAATGAATGCTGTACTTTCTATTAGAGGAGATGTGGACATTTTTATGTATTCCAAGGAAGTAGATAGGAAAGGTTTCACTTATGCATTCACCTGCTCTGTGTGTGTAATATCTGGTATGTTGTATACAACTCTCAGAAGCAGGATATTGTCTAAGGAAGGCTTCATTTACATAGTTACATAGGTAAAAAAAGACACATGGCCATCAAGCTCTTCTTTTAAAAATTCTTACAACCCCTAGTTAATCCACATGAAGCTAAAACAACCTCTGTCATGACTACCGCATAGGATTTCATTGCATTTGCTGTGGTAACCATTTATCTTTCTTTTGTGTCCCTCACAGGGGTGTCCCTATACATCTTGCCGGTATGGCGGGGGGAGGTGTTGCTTCTGATGCATGTTTCCAGGGGGGGTTGTCGGTGTTCAGGATAGAGGTTGTTGCTCTTTGGGCAGCATGGCTTGGGGTGAGGCAGTTTGTGGTGCGGTTTTGGTGTTGGGGAGCACAGACTAGCTCGTGGTGAACGCTGTCCCGACCATCTCTCTGACGTCACTGGTTGCCAGGAACTGGGTGAGATACCGGCCAGAGTGTTACTGGTTGCTAAGAGTTCTTAGCAACCTGGGACGCTCTGGCAGGAAAGGGCCATATGCCCCAAAGAGATGCCGCCTGAGCAAACCACCTCAGGCTGCCTTATTACAGGGACGGCCCTTGTTCCACACGATCACATAACAGCAAATAATAATGCTACCATTCTTCCAATGAACCCTCACTAGACAAAAAGGAAATGGAAACCGCATGGGGACTACATGTGCAGATGATCATCCATCTTCCCCTTTGTGGCAACATCACTGGTGAGATCTGGACTTCTAAATACTGTATATCCAGAAACTGCTACACTTACCAAAAGCACAATGCTGTTTACTGTATATCTTATGTATGATTTTAAAATTTTCTTCCCAGTTTCACCTTACTCTGTATCAAGGTTTTACCTACAGTTTATTGTAAGATAGAAGGGTTTAGGTGTATACAAGCTGCACACAGGCTACAGGGCAATGTGTGTTGAGGAACAAAACTGCTACAAAAAGCATAAAACATCCTAGACCATGATGTTACCTGTGGATGGTGTATCCAATTATAATTCCATTAGGTTTCATAGGCATTGTCCATGAAATCTTCACAGCTTTTTCTCCATCTGAAACCAACATGGGGGGATTGAGACCCTCTGGCTCTGCCTCCATAGTTGCTACAAGTGCTGGTTGACTAACACCGCAACTACCTAGAGGGCAAAAATAAATGACAATAATGTGCTGTTATATATTGGTGCATACCAAATTTAAAAAAAAAGTATTATATTCGTACCGAATATTTATATAATATTAGGCACTTTCTATTTTTCATGCAACTTGACTGATGGATCTGTCAATTACGTCCCTCTGTTAAAAAAACCCCCAATAAACAAACAGACTGCGTGACATGGATTTCAATGGCCACAGCAGCCCTTTTATTAACCAAATCAACTTTACCAATAACCAAAGTAATAAACAAAATAATATAGAAATAAATACTGTTAACGACTGTTGGATCTGAGAAGGGGTATTTGGGTGCCCAACAGCCCAAATAAGGCCTCTCCTAAAACCTCCTCCCATGTCCCCAGCCGCACCCCAACCAGCTCGAGGACAGTTACTCCTCTCAAGTTCCAAGGGGCCAGGCCCCCCAACAAATACTGACACCAACAGGAGGAAGCACCCATACCAGCTGATGGCCCCCCATTTGTGTAACTAACTCAGAGTTTCAGACGCCGCAAAGACCCCCTAACCCGCCAAGCTGCTGTGACATAAAAAGGACCTTGCAACCAGCAGAACCACAAAATTCAGGGAGGGCGGGTGGGAGAACCTGCTCCCTCCGTCGACTTTCCAAAAAGAAGGCCCCTCAGCCCTTGCAGTTCCAACCCATGTGGCTCCTCCCAGAGACCTGACCCCAACCTCTATTTAGGTAAGATCAGCTATTTCCCATTTAAGCTCTAACCCCTTCTTAAAGGGGTTCTTCATTCCTTCTTGATTTTGTTTGCATTTAAAACACAAAAGAAAGCAGTTGATCTCACTGCGTTGAAGATCCCTACATCATTGCAGGACACAATATTGACATGGAAAAACTAGCGCAAGGAACCGCATTGTGCAGAGGGGAGCCAGGCATCAGGACCAAACATCAGACTGGCAGACATTAAAACATTCTTTAATTTATTTAATACATGATTTAAACTGGAACACTGCACTGCATACATATGTACTATATAACTACATTATACTATATTAGCTTTTTGGGGGTTTCAAAACTTTAAAATGATATACAATTAGTATTTTTTATAAACAGAAAGAATATTCTGTCATTTTACGTTGATTGCATTTGTTTTCTCGAGTGGAAAAAAAGCACAAAACATTGCATTTTCTTCTATTTTACTCCTTGTTTTTAAATATCACTAAAAGAACAAAAATACTTTTATTTTCTAATGTAATATCATTAGACAGCTCTAATTATCATGTGTCACAGTGAGATGGATTATTTCCAAAATGATTTATCAGCTTTCCAGCAGCCATTGGCTGGATTGATAGGGATGCATAACTGACAATGGTAACCCCTCTTGCACAGATGATTGGAACTAATCAACACTGACTGGTAGAAGTCATTGACACGATGAGCTTGGCAAACCTAGATACTTCAAAGAAAGCTTGGGCCAGCTTGGGCAGGTCAAAGCCATAGCAGACCCTTTAAAGCAAATGTGTGTGGGTTTGCTTTAAATATATGCAAAGCCAAAACTTTGGTCACATTGGGAAGGCGTTCCTTCATTTTCCGTCTCAAAACACATTTCCCCAAAGTGAGGGAAATCCCAGTGCTTTCAGGAACAAGTACCTTCGTATGAAGATTTTCCCTCTATTCTCATTCCAGTGATAACACAGATTTTTTTTTCTCATATTCTCTAGCGGGAATCAGACAACAATTAAAACCTTTCAAGCGTTTTAACCCCTATCCTCGCTCCATTTAGCTGCCAGAAGCAAAATAAATACCCATTAATTATTTGTATTGAGCAGCATGAGATTCAATCCATGTGACAGAGTTGGGCCAATCTTCAAGCACCAGCGCTGCCACATGGTAAGTCCATAGCCCTGTGTAAGCTATGACTTACTTAGATTACAAAGGGTGTCTTCTCCTGCTCCTGGCAGCTGAAGATAGCCACAGGAGAATTGAAGCTGAAAGCCAGGAAACAGCTAAACACATAGATAAAATGCATATAAGGGAGCTGTTTTAGCTGCCAATGAATTTATATTTTTGACCATCCTGTCCTGAGATTTACACAGCCCCTAAGTGGATGACACTACTTAAAGTGACACTAAACTCTAGAGTTAAATCTTAAAAATAGATGCAAGCACCTTAACTATTACTAAAAATGTATCTTATTTGTGTATCACTCGGCTGTAGAACCTCAAATCATCTCTGAATTGGGGCTGACACTGTCCTTCCTTCTGGAGGGTGGCTACTTTTGTTCCTCATGGTCCCTGTGTGTGTTGTAAAGTAGTCACCGCTCCAAGCTCGCTCCTGTGATGGACTACAATCTCACGTATAGTTTACTCATTTGTATTGAGACCGTAGTCCAACACAGGAGCGAGATTGGAGCGGTGACGACTTTACAACACACACAGGTACCATGGGGAACAAAAGTAGCCACCCTGCACCATCTCCCAGCCTCTGCTGGCTGTAGAGGGGATTACAAAAGGCTGGTAGAAAGTCAAATTCAGGCACTTGCATTCCCAAAAAAATAAACATTGAATGGTTTATTGATGAATACAAAGCTGCATTCATTGTTTTTTTTACATCTGTCTGGAGTTCAGTTTTAAGGGAAATTATATAATGCGGAGGGGGGAGGGTGGGGGGGTATTATAGTAAACTTGTTGTTGCTTTGCCTGGATGAGAAAAACATAGGTTAATTTTAAGCAAGAACTCCGGGTAGCTATAAAAGACAAAAGTTAATGCAGCTTTGTATCTATTATTGAACTCTGTTTTCTTCATACACTTCAGTGTAACTACCTGTTTTTGACTTGGTATACGCCTCTTGCAATCCCCTGTAAATTGTAAACCAGAGCTTAGGCTGGGAAAGGGCAAAGCAGCGCAAACAGCATCAATAGTGCTGCACTGCAAGAAGCATGCTGATAGGAAGAGAGAGCAGAGTGACAGCGGGAGGGGAGCTTCTCAGTCTGCTTTTTCTGCTTTCACTGTGCAGTCAAAACCTGAGCTTGAGAGGATACTAGTAAGTATTATTTAATGGCAGCAGAGAAAATGTAGTTCTCTTTCCCTGCCAGATCGGGTTGTGATGTGTGGCAGAACTCTGTAAAAATCAGTACTTGATGGACAGAAATACAAATTATTTAGCTGTTTAATCAGCTTCTGTATATGTATTTTATCTGAGTATTTAGCGGTTTGCCTGGAGTCCAGCAAAGGATGTAAATATTATTACTGTCTGGGTCCATATAGAGATATAATAACAATACAACTACTGCAGCGCTGACAACTAGGAATCACTCTGGTCCTGAAGGTGTAAAGTGCTATGGTACCATTCTGACAAGCTTGCAGTCGGATGGAAAGTGACATTCCCGGGATAAGGTCCTCTAAAATGAGAAAGTGCTTCTCTCCGGCGGGGTTATGCTGACCAGCGGCTCCTCCGGTACTCAGCAAAATGTTAAACTCCAAAGGAATGCTGGAATTGTAAACACCTAGAAAAAGTTTAATGTGATATCATTTCAGTTGGTGCCTTGAAAGAAGACAAAACAATTGACAAGAAAAAACAACAACATAGCAGCGCCATTAAATTGAGTTGTCGGGACCAAAGGAGACTTAAAGTGCACCTGTGCCCGGACTATGGACATTAATGTATTTTCATATTCCTAACAGGCAGTAAAATACCTTAACACAAGCCACCCCTGACCTTTCTAGCTTATGGTAATCTGAAGCAATTCATTCTTAGGGTGCCCACACACCTTACGATAATCGTACGATAATCGCGGGAAATCCCGCGATCGTACGATTATCGCAAGGTGAGTGGAAGCCGTGCGACCTCTACTACTGTAAGGCCGCACGACTTTTAACTTACGAAGGCTGGGCACACACCTTACAACCATGGCAAGACTTTTGTCTTGCCATGGTTGTAAGGTACTTAAAAAAAACGTACCATCTGCCTATCTTGGACAGGCAGATCGTACTTGCGATGATCGCAAGCCGCGCCCCCCTGCGCACACCGGCCCGTCCGGCTTTTATCGTACGAACATGCTACACACCTGCCGAACATCGTACGATGCTTGGCGGGTTTTCGAACATGTTCGTAAGTTAAAAGTCGTGCCACCTTACAGTAGTATTATCGTACGATTATCGCAATCGTGTGGTGTGGGGACCTGAACATGTTCGAAAACCCGTACGATGTTCGGCGGGTGTGTAGCATGTTCGTAAGCGCACACTGGCCGTTCGGCATTGCGGTCATCGGAAAAGAACGCCCCTCAAGGGGGCACGGCTTGCGATCATCGCAAGTACGATCTGCCTGCCCAAGATAGGCAGATCGTACGTTTTTTTAAGTACCTTACAACCATCGCAAGACACAAGTCTAGTTCCCTGCGGAGCAATAGACGGAGGGAAGGACATGACTGAGGCAGGTCAGACCTGAACAAGGAGGGGTTAGGTAAGTATTGGAAGGAAGGGGGTTTGTCGGTTGGGGTTTGAAAAGGGGGGAGGGAGGGAAAGCTAGCATAGTGATAGGTGGGCTTAGCTTGGGGGGGTGGAGTTAGGGGGGCCATCTTACTGTACAGTGTGAAGTAGGGAACCATTTTAGGTGGGAGAGAAAGGAAATCAGTATCACCCACCCTCCCTGTTAGTATTTTAGCTTGTTGTTTTTGTTTTGGTTTGTTTTTTATGTTTCATAAGAGTTAGTCTCCGCAAGTGTGGAACTTGGGGAGGAGGGATACAATTTTTCTAGTTAGGGTAACGGGTATTTCTGTTCTGCGTTTAAGGTGGAGTTTGTGTTTTGGGAAATATGTCTGATTTCATTTTCTTCTAGGTTGGTCGGCAGGCGGGTCCCTGGCGGTGCCATACATCGACGACGAAGAAATGGCTCTCCGCAAAGTGGAAAGGGGCGGAGTAGTAGGGAAGTGCCAATGGTGGGGCTACTGGGCTCTATAGCTTGGTAGCCAGTAAGAACTTGGGCAACTGTTGGTGGGCGTACCCACTCTGGCCAGGATAGGGGCGGCCGGTGGCTGGTACAGTAAACAATGGGTCATGGTACATGGTAAGCGGTGAGTGGTGTTTTTTGGCACTCGTCAGGGACCGAAGCATTTTATTAATATGTTCTGCTATTATTTTGAAAATGTTTACATCGCTGTGGCCATTCAACCTTCCAATAAATGTTATTACTTTACGTTTTTGTTGAAATTACTGTGTTCAGTATGTTATTTAGGTGGGAGGTGAGGGTTACTTGGCCTTGCAATCAGTCATGCGATGGTTGTAAGTTGTGTGCCCAGCATTAACCTGTTGCTGTTGACCATACACATATACTTGGCAACACAGCGTTGGGCTTTTACATGTGCATACAGCACAGGGGCGTTGTTACAATTCTAGCCAGGCGTGTGAAAACGTTGGGAGAAGAGCGAGGGAACAGATTTATCTTAAGTGCAAATGGCAGTTTTGTTATTCGATGTCAAAGTTACCATGAGTCTAATGACAAGCTGCCAAAACAGATTTTCATGTTCGCTAAAGAACAAGGCGCCAAGTGCGTTTATATTCTCGGCACAGCAGCCTTTCATAATTTACAACTCGACGCTGATAGTTTATTTAACATTTATGAACTTACAATGCAATCAGAAATTCATTATTATCCGAACAAATAAATAGTTGATATTTCACAGCTTCTGCGGGTGAGAATCTGGGACACATGTCTCAATAAATGTTTTCATCTGCAATAACTGAAGTACAATTTGTCAGAGAGCCAGGGAGCTGAATAATTAACGTGAAACGGTTTGGTGGGGAAAAAAAAAATATGCTATAGCGTCGCTTCTATTGTAGAGTGCTGAATACTAGTTCTAGTCTGATGAAGTGGAGAAAGGACTTTTTAATAGGGGAGTATTTAATAAGCCAGCCAGAAGAAGAATAAGGACTGCAAAGTGCTGTAAGGTGTAGCAGCTAATCAGATTTTTGCTTATTAATATATGTCTATCATCTACCTGTATGAAAAGCCTCAAAAGGAAGCAGCCGTTCTCTGACTCTCGCAAGCAAAGGAGTGCTGACACCACTCAATACTGACTCAGAACTAGTAAGAGGACACGGAATCAAAGAAAGCATGGTGCCACCCTGGGAATTTTATAAACTTCACATTGCTTTGGGCTACTGGCCCTGTTGGTGCTCTCTGCCAATATACAGTCTGTGTATATGTATGTATCTGTGTATATATATATATATATATATATATATATATATATACACTGATATA